CTATATATGGATATATATATATATATATATATATATATATATCTATATATATATATATATATATATATATATATATATATATATATATATATATATATATATATATATATATATATATATATATATATATATATATATATATATATATATATATATATATATATATATATATATATATCTATATATATATATATATGTGTGTGTGTGTGTATTTATATATATATATATATATATATATATATATATATATATATATATATATATATATATATATATATATATATATATATATATATATATATATATATATATATATATATATATATATATATATATATATATATATATATATATATATATATATATATAAATGATGTTTTCAGACAGGTACTGTGCACCCAGAAAATATTCATAGCGCTTCACCTTTAACACATTTGTTTACGTTACAGCCTTGTTCAAAAATGGATTCAGTTAATTTATTTCCTCAAAATTCTACACACAATACCCCATAATGACAATATGAAATAAGATTTTTTGAAATTGTTGCAAATTTATATATATATATATAAAAAAAAAAACCAGAAAAATCACATTTACAAAAGTATCCACAGCTTTTGCCCAATACTTTGTTGATGCACCTTTGGCAGTAATTACAGCAAAGTCTTTTTGAATATGGTGCCACAAGCTTGGCACAGCTGTCTTTGGGAATTTTTGGCCATTCCTCTTTGCAGTACCACTCAAGCTCTATCAGGTTGGATAGGAAGCGACGGTGTACAGCCATTTTCAGATCTCTTCAGAGATGTTCAATAGGATTTAGGTTTGGGCTCTGGCTTTGCCACTTGAGGACATTCACCGAGTTTTTTTTAAAGCCACTCCATTGGTATTTTAGTGATAGGATTTGGGTCATTGTCCTGCTGGAAGATGAACCGTCGCCCCAGTCTGAGGTCAAGAGAACTCTAAAGCAGGTTTTTCATTCAGGATGTCTCTGTACATTGCTGCATTCATCTCTCCCTCTATCCTGACTAGTCTTCCAGTTCCTGCTGCTGAAAAACATCCCCACAGCATGGAGATGGTTTTAGCCTGGTAATGAGTGGTGCCTGGTTTTTTCCAAACGTAACGCCTGGCATTCACTCCAAAGAGTTAAATTTTAGTCTCATCAAACCAGAGAATTTAGTTTCTTATGGTCTGAGAGTCCTTCAGATGCCTTTTGGCAAATTCCAGGTAGGCTGGTGGCTTCTGTTTGGCCACTCTACCATAGAGGCCTGATTGGTGGATTGCTGCACAGATGGTTGTCCTTCTATAAAGTTCTCCTCCTTACACAGAAAAACGCTGGAGCTCAGACAAAGTGACCATCGGGTTATTGATTATCTCCCTGACTAAGGTCCTTCTCCCCCGATCACTCAGCTTAGATGGCCAGCCAGCTCTAGGAAGAGTCCTGGTGGTTCCAAACATTTTCCATTTAAGGAGGCCACTGTGCTCAGTGGAACTTTCAGAGCAGCAGAAAATTTTCTGTAACCTTTCCCAGCCTTGTGCCTCGAGACAATCCTGTCTTGAAGGTCTACAGACAATTTTCTTGTCTTCATGCTTGGTTGGTGCTTTGACATGCACTGTCAACCCTGGGACCTTACATAGACAGGTGCTTGTCTTTTCAAACCATGTCCAATCAACTGAATTTACCACAGGTAAACTCCAATTAAGCTGCTGAAACATCTCAAGAATGATCAGTGGAAACAGAATGTACCTGAGCTCAATTTAGAGCAATTTATATATGTATATATATGTATATATATGTATATATATATATATGTATATATATATGTATATATATGTATATATATATATATATATATATAT